AGCAGCAGCAGTGGAAGTAGTAGTAGCATCAGCATCGATGGGGGTAGCAGTAGTCGAGTTGCTTGTTGAGATTCTACTCCTCCTTGTTAATACCTCTACTACGGTTAGCTCCGAGCTTCTGAAGTTTAGTGGACATCTCGACATTTTAGACCACATGTGCGGACGGGGGTCCGCGGCATGCCTACCTTGGTCAGGACCAGTGCCTCTGAGGGCCAGTTCCCTTCGCTTCCGAAGATTTCAGCCTCCGTCCGAGCAACTGGGCTGCGAAAACGAGACTCTGCAGAAAAAACGGAAAACTTGAATAAAAGTAGTCCTTCATATTTTGCAGCGAGACTGACAGGGTTTTGATGTGCGAACATACACAGCAGCAGCACCTCTCCACGTCGTCTTGACCGGATTTAGAGCAGGTCCAGGCAAAGACGGAAACACTGACATCCCGACCCAATAAGAAAGACAGAAAGCCGACATGATGCGTTGTCGACAGAGCAACTCCCGCCTGTCAGCTTCTTCTCTTGGATCAAAGTCTGCTTCGTTGCAATCTGTCTACAAGACATGTCTATTCGGATGGAAAGCAGGAAGCTTTGAGGCCGTGATCTTGCTTGAATTCAAATTCAAATTCAGTCAGTGCGACTTAGCCATGATACTCTCGTGGGCTTTAGCTGGTCACCCTGCTTCATCGCTGTGCTGTGGAATGTCGTGTGGACCATGGACAGCAGGTGAGTGAACCATCTGCAGCCCAGCCACATGGAACGAGGTCAAGTGCCCTGCAAGCCAGGGCACTCGCGTCCGAGCGAGCAAGCAAAAGAAACGTTTGTCGCCCGTCGTGGCATGTGCACATCATCATTCCCAGGCAGCCTCCTTCGAGGAGATCTTTAAAGATGCGCAGCGGCGCGCGCAACATCGACGAGTGCAGGCGAAGGGTGGTGCGTAGTGAGGGGGGAGGAAAACGTAGTTTGCCAGTTTTGCCGTCTATTTCTATGGGTCGAAGAAGGGACTGCAATTTCGGATAAGGAGGGGTAGCAGGCCTTTCAATCTGCTGGACTACGTCCCAAGAGCCCAAACGTCTTTACTTCAAGGTAGCTGGAGGGTTAAAGTGTTAACGAGTCCGAGTTGATCAACTTTGGGAGCTGCAGAGTTGCAGTGCTGATTTCGGATGATGTTATGGAGGGATCGGTCGGACAACGCACGCTTCGTGCAGTGGGTCAGGCGGGGTTCTAGGAATGTGTCGTTAAATGGTCGATCTCCTGGAATTCACGGCTGCTCCAAAGCAGAGAGTGGTAAGAGCCGAAAGGAGCGGAAGAAGAGCGAGGAGACCAGTGAGCTGCAGCCTCGGATGATCTCGGATGCCTCGGGGTTCCCGGTGCCTTGGGGGTTGGCGATAGATCCTAAAGAAAGATCTTGCATGCATGCTTGTCAAGAGATTTGCTTCATGCTGAAACTAACTGACATACTACTATAGTACCATTACTACCAGTAGTATACTGTCTACTAATATATGTTCACTCATGATGGCGATGCGTCTCTACAATTAAGTTAGTTTCTGGTGGCTCTAGTGGGCTACGCTCCCTTTCAGGGCTCAGCGACTTCAAACTATTCTCTGGGGAAAACAACGAGCTTGCTTGCCCGAGGCGCCTTCCTTTCGTCAGCAGCACTGCCAACATCAACAAGAACACCATCTCGGGCTTCCATGCCTTCACAGCGCTGCTAAGGAGCCGTGAAAAGACAGAACACCGGGCTCGGCGACATACTAAAGACAGCACAGAACACCCCTGGAAGTTCCCTGCAGCCTAGTGCTCATCTTGCAGTCTAGACTCTGTGGTGGCTTAGCACATGTTTGCCAGTGCGCACGCGACGTGCGCGTATATGCGCATGCAGGAATCTAAATGCCCGCTCTGCTGGCGATGCTTGGCTGCTTTAGCACATGTTTCTGTACTGTCTCAGCTTCCTATCTCGCAACAGAGGCCCCGAGGCTCAATCCGAAATCCAAGGACATTGCGAATATTGATCTTGAGGCAGAGCGGGCAGCCGAAGCGGAGGCGCCAGAACGAAAGCTGGTTTGGGTGATAATTATGGTAGCTCATGCGGTTTTTAATGTTGACGACAATCAGGGTCACACGAGTAATTACTTCATGTTACTTCGGAAAAGCCCTCAGGTGACCGATCTCACGGAATTACGCAGAACGACGGAGGCGCTAAGTCGCCATTAATTACAAGCTTGGCATGCAAGCAAAGGCTGCGGCGATTCTTGTAATTAAACGATTGAAACTCATGCCTCAGAGCAAGCCTACGTAATGCAGGTCTTGGGCCCTCCTGACCCAGCGAGAGTCTCCCACGTCCAGTGCACTTGCATTTGAAGGAGAAGCGCAAAGCAGAGCAGGCAGAGATTGAACGCATGACGAGGCCTGACCGCAGCAGGACTCGGCACGTAGCCTCGGGGCTTGCCCCTCTCAGACCAACTCTCGCAAGAAGTCAGGCTGCTTTGAGACTTTAAGTGCAGACAGGCCACGGAAAAAGAGCTATGTTGCGGCACGAATGTGATAGTTGTATTTGTCGTTGTTGCAGTCACTATGATATGTGTGGGTTGTGCTTTACAGGAGCCCGAACTAAGATACAATGTAGGCAAGGCCTGAGAAAGTGTCGAGATCATGTTGAATTTGGCCAGCATTTGTCGGAGGTGTTGTGGGAAGACCTCACAGAGCCCCTTGCTTTGTCCCGACCAAGACTGCTGATTTCCTGAACGGCAGGCTCACGATGCTGGCCTCCAGCGCTCTGACCGAGCAAACAGACCAGGACCTGCAGCACTTGGTCAATGTCACACCGCCCCGCTTGCCCGTTGCTTGCAAGACACGCCCACACCTTCCTGCAACAAGGGGCAGAATTGTAAAGTTCAGGCCCGAGCCTGAGCCCTGAAGTTGCGCCTGCGGGGCACTGCACAGGACATGACGGTCCCCGCGCGGAGGCTCGTGTTTTCTGCTGCATGTGGGATAGCCCCAATACACTATGCCCGACACGCCATGCAAGAGACGTCATGTCCACAGAGATAGGAAGTAGGAAATTAGTGGTTATTTGGTGTGTTGTATGTGGCTGTTAATAGTGACGTTAATAGATACAGAATCAGAAGATATAGCAACTTGCAATTGAACTCCTCACGTTAGCTGTATCTTGGATCCAAGAAATGCAATGTATACGCTTGTAAAATCTTGTAGAATTTCTGTCCGAATGCCGTATTTTACTCGTAATTCCATATACCCTGAACAAGTGCGCGACACAGGAGTTCTGTCGGCGCGGGCGCGGAGGACAATGGGGCGCTCAGCGACATGCAGAAGCGGAGCCTCAGCTAAAGGCTAGCAGTTAACATTCATTCAATCAATAGCTTCGCCCTGTCAGGACTCGAGGGACGAGGGCGTTTCTCACCTAGTTGCCTGAGTCTTGCTAGCGCTGTTCGGTTGTTGGACACATGTGAGTGAACTCTGAAACACCACTAACTTTGGGATAGCTTCGCTCACATCAGCTGTTCCAGCTGTTTATTCTCCGCCCCTGGGCCCTTGCATGACATATAGTTTCCTTACCAGCACTTAGAATGCGGGAGGTGTGTTTTCCCGAAACCCGGAAGCCCTACCAACCTCAAACTTTCATCAGGGAGCCCGTTTGAGTTGTGGTGCCGCTTCTTGTCGTGGGTCTGGGGATGCAGGCAATGTCCACTATCGCTGGAGGTCGACACTAGTCGTGCAGAAGACAGGTTGCCTCACCAGACCTGAAGCCGAGACCGTCAGGAAGAGGGAGGATGCAGCTATCCAGCGAGCCCGGATGGAGCGTGCCCATGGAGCTGCACAGTCGGGTTTGGTTCGAGCGGGATGTTTTCGGTTGTTGATTCGGTGTGCGATCGGCTGCATAATCGCCGTGCTTTATATAGTGACACGAAGCTTCGCGTTTGAAATCGGGTCGCCGAGTGTCTGAAAAAAGCCTTGCTTGTCATATCTTGTCATGGGCTGGCCCATCAGGGTCATCAGTGGCCCATCAGGGTCATCAGAGTCTACAGTGGTTCGGTGTGGTTTGCATAAAATCGCCGCTTTGTGGGAACGAGCATCGACATCATGTGTGGACAGGTAGCCGTCGTGGCCGCTTACACCACTCGCACGTGTTCTGTTCGGCAGTTCATTGATGTCGGTCATGTCCAGGAAAGAGATCCCGAAGCTGCTTGGCCGCATCGCAACTTAGCGCGGCTGCTATACTGCACACCTCGCTAGCCTTGCCACAGACTGCGAATCTGGTCAACAGAATCAGAATACCTCCCCCCTCTCCCCCCCCCAACGAAGCTGTCGCTGCCTGTTGGAGGACGTCGCAGAGCTTCTTCGACCCCCGGACTTTGGGCTGGTAGTCGAGCGCTTCCATTGGGTCACTGGCCTCATTCAAGAAAAAGCTTGGACTCAGGGTCGGTGTGTGGCTGCAAAGCATTCGGGTCTCATGGCTTCGCTGCTTTTCTGTTCGTCCTCCTGGGGGAAGAGTTGAGGCTGGTGACTGTTCGTCGACTTCCTCCAAAGTTCTGCTGAAGTTGCATATGTGCCTGAGGATGGCCCCGGCCTTTCAGAAAAAGAGCTTCGCAAAGCAGAGGCCGATCGAAATGCAAGATCCATTCGGTGCCGGGCTTCTAGCCCGAATGACATTGCAGACTACATTGGCCGCAATCACACCCATGACAGCACTGACTGACGGATACTTGGGAGTTTCCGAAATGAGGGGTAC